TTCAAAAATTTCATGCTGTCTTAATTACTGTCCTGAATCAGGCATCCTGAGTCCTCCAACTTTTTCTTCTACTTCAATATTGTGGTGGCTATTATGGGTCTTTTGGCTTCCCATGTTAACCTTAGAAACAGTGTATTAATATTCATAAATAGCTTGCAGAGATTTGGGGATTGGGATGGCATTGATTCTATAGATCTAGTTGGGAAGAGTTGAATCCTAAAAATACTGAGTCTTCTAGTGCATGAATATAAAATATCTCTGTTTTAATCATCTTTGATTTCTTTCTCCAGAGTTTTGTAGTTTTCCATATATAAGTTCTCACTTATTTTGTTAGATTTATACCAAGTATTTCCTTTTTTGTGAGCTATTGTAAATGATATTGTGATTTTCATTTCAAATTTGAATTTCTCATGGGTGATGTATAGGAAAGCAATTGATTTTTGTATATTTTTTTGTCTCCTGTGACTTTGAATAATTATTTATTATTTCCATGAGGATTTTATTGATTCTTTGGGATTTTCCAATCTGGAAAATCTTCAGATTATTGCCTTATTGCACTAGTTGAGACTCCAAGCACAATGTAAGAGGAATGATGAGATGATCCTTGCCTTTTTCTTGATTTTAGAGGGAAAACATTCAGTTTCTCACAATTCCTTCTCTTTTTATTACAATGTACCCTGATTTTCCAGTTTATTTTTTTCTTTCATCCCAATTCTCCATCCCATCCCAGTCCTGTTGTTATAGTGGAATCAGAGATACCTTCATTTAAATCATGATTTGGATCTTGTCAAGTTAATATAACTCTTTTGTATTTAGTTTTCTCATTCTAAATTAGAAAAATATTGTCTATCCTGTGTTGTTAGGATGATTACTTGGGAAAATACTTGCAGAAAACTTTTCGTTTTTCACTTAATGCATGAAAACCTAACTTTGATATAGGCCCTATGCTAAATTCTTGGAATTCAACTATGAACAAGCCTCAGCTCTCAGAAAAAATAGTTGACAAAAAAAGTCAAGGTCACAATGTATTTTAATAATTATATGTGCTATGAAACCTGTCAGTTCACATATTTTATTTTCAGTACCTAGAAGCTACCATTTTTATTATTATTCCTTTTTCAACTTTTTATAGTCTTCTTGAACCATCAAAAGAACTGATGACATTCCCTCTTTTCTTGTATATCTTCTTTATTTCCACCCCACATAACCAGTACAAACAATTCTCCTTTTGATAATCTCTCTAGTTTCTGCACTGTTTTCACTACTTCCTTCTCTTTTCAACTACATATCTCAAACATCTCTATACTTGGGATATACCATAACAACACTTTATGTTTGGCATCATGTATATTTTGGTTATAGTTCCCGTATAGTTCATACAGCATACATGGAGTATTCAAATATAATAATCCAGAGGGCAGTGGTGACAGTAATTTGATTTTTACATAAAACAAATGAAGGATTTAAAACAAGTTGTTTTTTCTTTTCAAAACATTTATGCTAATTAGTTAGGTATACAGCCCATCTTTTTTTTTTTTTTAAAGATTGTATTTATTTATTTAACACAGAGAGAGACAGAGTGAGAGAGCACAAACAGAGAGCAGCAGAGGGAGAGGGAGAAGCGGGCTCCCCACTGAGCAGGGAGCCTGACCTGAGGCTCTCTATTCCAGGACCCTGGGATCATGACCTGAGCCAAAGGCAGACACTTAGGCAACTGAACCACTCAGGTGCTCCTACAGCACCTTTTTATAAGTCCATCCTTTACATTTTATAAGGAATAGGAAGATTAAAGAGAGGCTTTTTGTATATGTAGGTATATGGGGATATTTGTCTTGATTTTGTGTTTTAAAGAATAAAATAAACAATAATGCATTAGTTTCCTGAAGGATAGGGCTTTGTTACTTAGGCAATGTCTTTGTGACACCCCAGATGTAACTAAATACAACTTCAGATCAGCTTTCAGATATTCTCTGATTTATGAGGTGAACAGATGAAACAATTCATTACATTGCATTAAAAAAAAAAATTTTGGTGGGGACAGTAGGGAAGAACCAAATATGAAGAGGTGGAAAGGGGATAGTGGGTATAGCTAACACAAACATAGAGACAGTGGGAAGAACGTCGGGAAGGTGCCACACTGGGAACAGTTATTTTGCCATTCTATACTTCCCACTACCTGCAGTGATAAATTTAATATTTTGGCTTAAAACATGAATTTGTCTTGCTTGTTCTCCTTACTTTCTTAAAAAATAAGCTAATGAAGCAATAGCATATAAAGGTGTTGCCTGGGATTTGCATAATATGTGCATGTGCCCATGTGTTTAAAATACATTAAAATAATTGCTGTCTCTGAGATTTTCAGCTGTTATTGCTGACTCTCTAGTCTCCAAACTCCTTTCTGCATCAGCAATTTTGTATTTGATTTGTAACGTGTTCTAAATATTCTCCACCAAAGACTGGAAAGCAGTCTTGTAGAGAAGGAGTAAAGACATTGCATAGACCTTTGATCACCCTGGCATGCTTGTTGTCACTTCAAAGAAAAGCAGTGTTTCAGTATACATTTGGCTGGTTAATAGAGTTTACTTATCAAGTTGTCCTTGTGACTAATGATTTTTGTGCAAGACATTGTAGGAAATTTAGGTGAAGTGATTTACTAATAAAATACATTTTCTTTGACAGACTGACTTCTTTACTTTGAGAAAATAAAGATGAATCTTTATTTTAAGGAGTCAAGAATTTGTTCCTTATAGACATGGAATTAAGAAAATAACTACTATCTAAAAAGCTGTTTAGTTTGATAGGCAGTTTTGTGAAAGCAGTTTGCTTATCCGTTTTATAAGAGTAAAGATAACCATTTATTTGGCTTATCCTTGAGCTGAGACTTCCAGTATTTGAGTTACTCTGTGATGTAACTATTGGAATACAAAGTGGATAAATATTAATCAGATATTTAAGTGACTACTAAATAAGAATATCTGTCTAGAATAACAGATTGTGTGTATTTGTGTCTGTGCATGTGCATGTGTGTGTGTGTGTGAGAGAGAGAGAGAGAGAGAGAATATTAATTAAGTTTCTACTCTATCCTAGGGTCCTTCACAATTACTAATTCTCAAAACAAAGCTGTTACTGTCTTATTTATCACCATTTTACAGATTAGGAAAAAGAGATTCATAGGGATTAAGTAATTTTCCGAACATATTAAGTTGTGGATACTTGAGTCATTGGTAGATTCTTTGATTTCAATTCCATTATTTTCAATTTATAGCTTTAATCAATCCTTTAGTGAGAAATAAACAATGATTACTTAATTTAACAGGTTCCTCTTACCTTGTCTAACAAAACGACATTTCTAATAAATATGTAATTTATTTTAAATTAGATTTTCTGTGTGTATAATGCATGTGCCCACTTTCCTTTTTGCTTTTGTACATGAAGTTATGCTTATATACATAGATATTGCAATATAAGTTCTAAAGTACTGTTTCTTCCCATATCTGTGATCCAAAAAATGGGGAGTGATACAATATTTGGCTTACAAATAAAAAAGTAGAGTTTATGGTGTTATTTAACATGAATAATGTGTTTTATATTTCATGTTCCTTTTCATACATTGTAATATACCTATAAACTTACTTTGTGTAATTTTAATGTTGACTTGAAAATATAATTAGAGGACAGGTTTTAAGAGTGAAATCTATAGTTTTAAAATAGGTCAATTTACTTAGGACATGACAAAAAATTAGGATAACTAAGTGTTATTCATTTGTACTAATAGTTTTTTTCTTATGCACCAATCTCCAACCATAAATGTTTATTTTTTAATTCAAAATAAATGACACTTATTACACCTCAATTTCTGGTATAGTGGTCTTGTTCTTTAAACATTTTTTGCTTTTATTTATGAAATCTAAAAACATGGCTAAATGAAAGTATCTTGTAACTGCCAACATGATGAGGTTTTATACTATACTATCTTAAAGTATTAGGAAGAACCATCAGAAGCATACATTTTCCAGATTTTCTCTTTGTTCTTTTTAAATAATATAAACTGCTCCACATAGCCCCTCTATTCTTTCTTATTGAAAGAATCAATAAGAAAGAGAGCATAGCAAATAAGCTGGGCATTTTCAGGGAGAGACATCTATCCCAAGTACAGCAGGAGAAAGGGGCGGAAGTCTTAAAGTGTTATGGATAGGGGGAGGTTCAAAACATAAGAAAGTTATAAGTAAGTTGAGAAGGTAATAAACAAAAGCTTCAACACACTTCCAAATAAGCATGATGTAGAAACGATTGCCCTAAAAGAGTAATACTGATTTTTTTTAAATTAAAGGATTTGTTCAAATGTGGATTTTTGTGATTTTTGTTTTAGACACTAGTGATTGAATTATCTTTACCATTGTTGAAGGAAAAAGATAATTGATTTTGAAAATTGATAATTCCATCGTCATTATTAGTTAGGTATAAAATACAATCTTTTCCAAATAAACAATCATTATGAACTGGTTTATCCACAGTTTCAGTCCTAGATACACACATGAATCATTTATGTGTTTGGGACATAGTAGCATCCCAGCTCAGCTCTCAGATTTCCACAAGCAAGATGACTTAGTACTGAAGGAAATAAGACCTTGGTTGACAAAGATAATATTTACCAATGACACAGAGTTAGTTTTTTGTAACCCAAACTTGTCATTTCTTAGACAACAAGAATACATAGTATGAAAATGAGAAAATGAGAAGATAAAAGTTAAAATTCCAAAATATGTCCAGAGAATCATTGAAAGGAAGTTTAATAACCGTACAGTCCCTTTTATCTAGACAAATAAATTAACCTTTGATTAAAAATTACAAAATGATCCATTTGTTGCAAAAATTAAAGCCTGTTTGGTGTCACAAAATGTTTCTTTTTTAAAGGAACAAAAACAGAACCGAAAGGAGGAAAATGGTGTGTAAGTCTATTATTGTGAAATTCTAACCTCTTTTAAAATCCTGTCTTTCAGGAAAGAACGGTGACCATTAGAAGACAAACTGTAGGAGGATTTGGATTAAGCATAAAGGTATCCTGTCTTTTCAGTCTATCCTCAAAGGCCATGCTGTAAAGCCTGCATTTTTGTGTATTTTGATTTTTTTGCTGATTAATCAAAATATACTATAAGATAAGAATGGCTATAGCAAACTGTTCAATATTTGGAATGAGATGTAAAATAGGTAAGTTCTCACAAAACCTTGGGCAACTTTTGGTTTAGAAATTCTCTTAGAAAAAGTACTTGGGAATTTTACCTGATATTGAACATAGGTCATTCACTTTCTCTGGTGTCATTTAACATGTCAGATATTGTGTTATAATATGCATGTCTTCCTCTAACCAGCCAGAATAGGAGCCACTGCCCTTTCAGTGAATGGAGCAAGAACAAGTTTTAAACTAATAATACATAGTTAAGACTTAGTTGGATTTTGTTCATCTTTTTCTTTGGTTAGTTTTCCTTTTTTTAAGAAACCAACAAATTTTCATATCACAATGCCAAGTATACAGGATAGACAGAATTTTAGCATCTCATTTATTTTAAAAATGACCATACCTGTTCACTTCCATTTATTATTAAATTTTAAATGCCTCTTTTCCTCCAATATATGGTTGACTAGTAAAGATGTACCATATGTGCAATTTGTCATCACTGAAACAAAACAGAAAATTTGAAAGGGTGAGAAATTACATAAATATTATAAAAGTTAATTCAATATCTTTAAAGGCCCTTTAGAAATCTACGTCTCTGCGTAGATAAATGAAACTTAACTTTATCTTGACCATTGGGTTAGGTATTTTGCCTATGTAGGGTGACTATCATACATCTCAGGTATATATTTCATGAAATTTTAACATAGCTCAGTTTATATATGCTTGGAAAGTGGAACTCTAAATTTGGTGATTATCAGTTCTAGTTGACATTATGGAAATGACTTAGAAAAATGTACCTGTGTGGAATAGCATTATGTTGTCAAGTGATAAGAATATCACTACATAAAGTGTTAGTTTTAAAATATTTATTTAACTTTCCTTTATCTATCATCAGCTAAAACCTGGAAGGTTTGCAGACCAAGTTAATAGGATATGGAAATTATTTTTGTTTTTTGCTGTGCTATTTATTGGGATTGCTTGAAGGATTTAAAGTTGCCACTAGAGATAGTAAAAAGTCCATGAAAGAGAAAAAAAAGCTAAGTGTGAATAAAATCCAATCATGAGAGTTGGTTTCATTTGAGATAAACATTTTTGCCTAGTAGGCCTGACTCACTCTTTCTTTCTTCTTTTCTTTCTTTCTTTCTTTTATTTATTTATTTGAGAGAGTGTGTGTGTGTGTGCTTGAGCAAGGGAGAGGGCACAGGAGAAACAGACTAGGGGAGTGCAATATGGGTCTTGATCTACTACCCATCAGGAGATCATGACATGAGCCCAAACCAAGAGTTTAACACTTAACCAACTAAGCTACACAGCCACTCCAACTCTGTTTCTGATGGTGGAGCTACATTAGTTTTGTGTAGGCTGGAAATGTTCTTTTCTATTTTTTTTTTCTATTTCCATTTATAATTTAAAGCCAGTAATGCAATGTAATTTATTTTTACTAAAGTGGCACAGTTTTAACCTAGGCAGTTTTTAATTAATTTAATTAATAAAATTCCTATCAAGAATTTTGCCAAATGAATTATATCCATTTAATATTTTCATTATTCCAATCCAACTGAAATTCCTACACCAAACTAAATAATTTTTTAAATCAAATGTGTATAGTTTGCATTCATAATATTGACCACAAAAGCAGTATTTTATTTTATTTTTATTTTTTAAAATTTTTATTTATTTATTTGACAGACAAAGATCACAAACAGGCAGAGAGGCAGGCAGAGAGAGAGAGGGGAAGCAGGCTCCTTGATGATCAGAGAACCCAATGCATGGCTTGATCGCAGGACCCTGAGATCATGACCTGAGCCGAAGGCAGAGGCCTTAACCCACTGAGCCACCCAGGTGCCCCAAAAGCAGTATTTTAATTGTGATTTGTGCCATATGTTAGGAATTCTAACAAAAAAGGCAATTCGTTTACAATTCTTATGACACACTAACCATAGATACTAAAATTAATATTTTTATTTAGAATATTCTGAAAAGATTTTTTTTAGTGTTTTGCAATTTGCTTTTCTTAATACTTACCTCTGACACTTGATTTTTTATTTTTAAATTATCTTTCAGGGCACCTGGGTGGCTCAGTCAGTTAAGTGCCTGCCTTTGGCTCAGGTCATGATCCCAGTATTCTGGGATCAAACCCCACTTCCTGCTCAGTGGGGAGTCTGCTTCTCCTTGCCTCTGTTCTTGTGCTCTTGCTTGTTCACTCTTGTTCTCTCTCTCTCTCCCTCCCTCTCAAATAAATAAAACCTTAAAATAATAAGCTATCTTTCATTCTGTTAATGTGTGTGCATATATATATACACATATATATATTTCATGTTATATATATATACTATATATGCAGAATGAACATTTAAGAAATCATTTTAGCTTAAATGCAGAATTAATATTTTAATATTCATCATTTATTTATTTTCTTATGTATTTATTTGTGTACCTATTGCTGGAGCAATTTGAGCCAGTAATACAATTATTCACATAAATATATAAACATATATCTTATCCTTATTTGCTTCAGTTAAGTAATCACTTCTAGCACACACTGGAGATTTTGCAGTGAGAATTATTGACTTAAAACCTGGAATATCTCAACTGGAGATAACAAAAGGAAGAGTGCCTGTTGGACAATTAAAGAGGCTTTAACCAATATAGTGAAGACTCCTACAGGTGCTCCTGAATTTCACTATACTAAGAACATATGTGATGTTATTTCAATTTTACCTTCTAAAAAATTATTTGTAAAAACCTAACTAAAGGGTAAAAAAATGTTTTTCTTTCTTTCTTTCCATCAGAAAACACCAAAACACTCCAACATGTGCTGTTACAGGTCAAAGCCAACTGGCCATGCTCTGTGCTCCTGACAAATCTCGGTTCATGGGCCTTTCCTGCCACTGTCACCATTGTGCATAGTGGAAACTCCTCAGTTTTCCCACGTGGTGGTCAGTGCTACAAAAGTTGGTGGGCAACATCACGGGCTTCTTTCATAGCATCTTTCTAATGCTTTATTTATTAACGTGCCATAGTGGCTATAGACTGTGGGCAGAATGATGTCCTTGAAGCTACCAATGTCCTTTAAGCCTTGATGTTGCCTGTTCATGTACAATGTTCTTATTCCCCAACACTATCCAGGCAGAAATTCCCCTATAACGGTGGTGAAATAAAAGTGAGCCTTTACCTTCTCTTATTTTCGCTACCTTATTATTGAGACAATATATCTTAGGGATATTAAAACTTCAGGGATAAAAGTTTGTGGCTTAGTCTAAGGTGGCTTAGAGATTGAGGTAGTCATATGTCAGTATGTCTAATTCTAGGTGTTTATAATTTGATATCTTCCCTTGAAGGACAGTATGATGTAGTGCATGTTAAGGAGAGTTTCCATCTCAAAATTTCCTAAAAATCTTAAGGAATAAGAGAAAAACATAAATAAAAATGAAAGATTATATTAGATCTAAATTTCTAAAAATATATTTAAGTTTTAACCCATTTTCCTTTCAAATTTTGTTTATTTCTTCTCTTACTATAGTTTTGCTTTTTTCACCTTAAGAAAATTTTTGGTTTGCACTATTAGGACTTTCTTACAAGATCTAAGACTCTCCTTTGAAAAGCCACATTTATTAATATTTTAAATCGTATCCAAAGTTACTAGACCCTCAATGTGGAATACAGCACCCAAAAAGAGCTTTGACATCAGTTATACTGAGATTTAATGTAGAAGTCAGATTTATCTCCAGAGACAAATTTATTTTTTAGATCCTAAAATCCCTTTTTTTTTTTTTCTTCATAACAACAGTGTTTTAAAAGATTTATTTATTTATTTATGAGACAGAACACACGGGCATTCACGTGTGCAGGAGTTGGGGGGAGGGGCAGAAGGAGCGAATCTTCAAGCAGACTCCCCACAGCGCACAGCCCTCCCCAGGGCTCCATCTCACGACCCATGAGATAAAGACCTGAGCCAAAACCAAGAATCAGTCACTTAACTGACTAAGCCCCCCAGGTGCCCCATAACAGGTGTGTTTTATAATGGAAAGGTAGAGATGAAAATTACCTATGCATCTATGTTAATTCTACAGGAGGGCAAAACAAAACAAAATAAACAAAACCAAAATCCCACAATGCAGAACCAAGGACCTGTGGGGACGTGACAGACTTGTGCTAATGCTCCACATGGCGAAGCAGGTGTCCTGACAAATAGAGCCGCCACACACAAGGCTGACTATCTTGTTCCATCTTCCCATCCTCTGGTTTAGCTAAACTTTGGTCTTCAGCTCCTAAAAAAGGAAGGGATTCTTTTTAACCCCTGGGGAACATGCATATCCCTGGATTCCTGCTAGTTTCTACTTTGTTCTCTCAGTGCAGTTAGCCAATCAAGTAGGAGCAAATGCGCAACTGAACCAAGGTATAATGAGGTGAAATTTGGAGGTACGATATTCACACCTCTGTCGTCATCAAATAGCATTTCATCCACAAGCGCCTACTTCAGAACACCTAAATAGAAATTATGGTCATACCTTCTGATCAGAAACTTAGTCATGAAGCACTGCTAGAGTTTTCTGCACTGTGCTCAGTCTTGCACTGTCTTCCAGAAAGCCTTGCTCATTCAAGCTATTTTTACCTTTGTGTTGCTTTTTAGAACACTTTTAGCATCTGCCATAACTCTGGATTTTTTTGACAATTCTTTAGGATTCTCCCTGGCTTTCACCATTATTCATTCTTCCTCAATTTAAACATCGCTCAGAATTCAGTGTGTGTGTTTTTCTTTTTTTTTCCTTATTAGTTTTTGTTTTTGTCACTCAGTAAAATGTCAAGCTCTTCTTATTTACATTTTTAAACTTCCAAAATATCATTCTCCAAAAACTGAACAAAAAGATGACTAAACTC